CACAGACGCGCCGTCGCCTCTCTCTGTCTTTTTTACAAATACTTTCATGGTAATTACTCCAAGGAGCTGCATTCGCTGGTTACCAGACTTCATGAATTCAAGCGCCCTACGAGGCTGGCATCCCGCTCTCACCCTTTCACTGTAGAAACTATTAAATGTAGACGTCTCTTCTACTCCAATAGCTTCATATCTCGCACCTCTCGCCTGTATAACTCCCTTCCCTATTCCAGTTTCCCTGAGAGCTATAATCTCCAACTATTCAAATGTAATGTCAATCGATACCTCCAGTTGCCTTGATCTATCCATTATCCTTCTTCTCATCCTTTCTTCTATCACTCCTATCTGGTTTTGCTCCAAATATTCTGTAACCCCTTGCGTCCTAGTGGCTTCTCGCCTTGCTTGGGGTGAAATGCTTAAAAAAATGTTAAAGTGTTGTGGGGCTGATTAATGAGAATTCACTGAGATAACAGAAGGCAATTCTGAAATAAAGATTTTCAGACAGTTTTTGAAGTGTCAAGGAAACTTTAATGTATGTGTGAGCTATGAACAGTGTCATTTGATTGAAAAGAGTGCACCATTGTCCTAGTTAGGTTCTTCATTGGATACTTGCCGGGCACGCTTCAAAGAATTTAATTGCAAGAAATGGTGCCATCTGAAAATGACATTTACCAAAAATGTCAACAAGATTAGTGAAGCAACTCATGTTGCTGATTATTATAACTGCTGTTAAATTGAAATACTGATAAAATGCTAATTTACATAGAAGGACGCGTTATTTCTGCAACTTAATGGATTCATATACTTATAAAATTTTTTATATTAACTTTTTAACATTGTATCACTACTCTCTCTATTTTATAATGATCTATATTCGTTGTTTATTTTTTTTTTCAGCGTTTCACCCCAAGCAAGGCGAGAAGCCACTAGGACGCAAGGGGTTACAGAATATTTGGAGCAAAACCAGATAGGAGTGATAGAAGAAAGGATGAGAAGAAGGATAATGGATAGATCAAGGCAACTGGAGGTATCGATTGACATTACATTTGAATAGTTGGAGATTATAGCTCTCAGGGAAACTGGAATAGGGAAGGGAGTTATACAGGCGAGAGGTGCGAGATATGAAGCTATTGGAGTAGAAGAGACGTCTACATTTAATAGTTTCTACAGTGAAAGGGTGAGAGCGGGATGCCAGCCTCGTAGGGCGCTGAATTCGTGAAGTCTGGGAACCAGCGAATGCAGCTCCTCGGAGCAATTACCATGAAAGTATTTGTAAAAAAGACAGACAGAGGCGACGGCGCGTCTGTAAGAGAGCGACTGTAGACGAGATGCCAGAGCAAGGCCAATTATATTGCATATCTGCCTCTGGAGCCTATCAAGAACCCCGAGGCAAACAGAAGAGGCTCCAGACCATATATGGCAGCAATACTCCATGCAAGGGCGAATTGTTGAGTTGTAGATCTGAAGGATCGATTCCGGAGAGAATACCTGAACATATCATTTGATTATAGTGGTGAAGATTTGTGCAGAAAAAAAAGAGACGAATACAGAAAACTGGTGTACAAGACACCAAACGACGGTTCGCATATTTTGAATTCAGAGTTGCCCTTCAAGAAGAAATAGGGAACGTTTATAAATCTAACATGTTTTACTTTTATTAAAGATTCATCCCATTTGACTTGTTAAACAAACGTTAGTAGAATTTCTTGCCTTCCGAATTCCCATAGACATACACACAGTTACAAATTGACATTATCACCTGAATCGCATATAGACAAACTAAAGTTATTATACGCTACGTAGATATAGCAATATTTACGTTTGTTCAGTTAGGCTTGGAATCAGTTAATTTCTTGTAACTTCGAAAGAACGTGTCGCCTCTCTTGGATTTGGAAGGCCATAAAAATAGAAGAATTTCTTAATTCTTCCTTTCTTCATAGCTCATATTCTTATTAAGTTCTGACACATATTAGATTTCTAAACTTTCCCATTTTTTCTTTATCAATATATATATATATATATATATATATATATATATATATATATATACTTATAAAGGTAAAACACAATAGTAAAAAATGTCATATTAGCCGACGCGTTTCATGCAATGTGGAATTTCTCAAGGCAAAAGAAAAATTTTTTGCCTTTGAAAAGGTCCACATTAGACGAAACGCTTTGGCTAATATTATAGTTTTCTTATTGTTTTTACCTTTATAAATATTGTCTTTTTTCTACAAGTTAGCTCTGAAAATTTATATATATATATATATATATATATATATATATATATATATATATATATATATATATATATATATATATATATATATATATATACCAAGTAACTATATTTAGCCTATTTTGCTTGAACAGGGAAAATTTAAAAGCACTATATAGGTGTTTGTTCATCTATCTTCATCTATCTATCTATCTATCTATCTATCTATCTATCTATCTATCTATCTATCCTCTATCCCCCCCTCTCTCTCTCTCTCTATATATATATATATATATATATATATATATATATATATATATATATATATATGTATGTATGTATGTATGTATGTGTGTGTGTGTCTGTGTGTGTGTGTACGGTGTAACGTCTGTTTTAAATCCGGCCACTTATCTAGAAACATTTACGTACATTTAGTAGGGTAAAAAAAAAAAGAAAAAAGTAAGAAAGAGGAAAAAAGCAACTGTTATTCTCGCAAGATAACATCTTCCTTAATAGAATCATTTTCACATGATAAAATATTTCCCTAAACAGGAACTCTAATCTCAATCCACCGGCCACAAACGGCACCGGGTCTGCGAGTAGGAACCCTCCTCTGCCATTTGATTATTCCGCGCCTCTACGTTTAAAATTGATTGTATTCATTTATTTATATTTCTTTTTTTTTTATATAAAATTCCCCCGGCGTTTTTCCCTCCCGTTGTCCATTCCGTATAAAATATGTTTAATAATAAGCTCGGTGCACACGGCATACTGTTTCTGTTTGCTTTAAAATCATCTTCCAAAATTCAGCTCAAATGCATTAACCTAGGCAGCTGGTAAGTAAAGAACTATTTCTTAAACCTATTTACATTTAGAGTATTAACGATCGCATATATATATATATATATATATATATATATATATATATATATATATATATATATATATATATATATATAGTGTATTTGGGCAGCAATCCGTTAATTATACAAGTTTCATTAAAGATGACTGACAAGGTACTGCGATTAAGTTTTTGATTCATTTTTTTTTGTGTGTTCAGATGTGTTTTTTTTCAGGACGTAAAGTGTGTAAAAACTGTCCGAATGTTCTATTGTCTATTTTGTTAGTCATTATTAAGGGTGGTTAAAAAAAAAAAAACTCTGTATATATGTATACATTGTAGTGATTCAGTTAAAACAAATCTTTGATAATGGCTAGTAGAATAGCCGAAAGCACACGGATATATAGAACATTCAGGTAGTTTTTACACTTTATGGACAGAAAAAAAAAAATTTCTACAAATAAAATTGAATAAAATATTTAACCGCAGTGCCTACCAGCCGCCTTTAATGAAATCTCTCTCTCTCTCTCTCTCTCTTCTATATATATATATATATATATATATATATATATATATATATATATATATATATACATACATACATGGAAATGTAGATAGGCAGATGTGTATTTAGGCAGCAATAATTCTTTAATACATGTTTCGTTAAAAACAACTGACAAATCGGTTACACATAATAAACCCGTAAAATTAATAATAATTAAAGTAGGTGTCCCATAACAAATGGATTTTTCTGGTAAAGATGACTGGTTGATCTGTGATTGCAAAGATTAGCTTTTGTGTATTTTCCTGAAATGTTCACTATGGGATTTTTTTTCAGTTTTATAATTATTATTATTATTGTTGTTGTTGTTGTTAGTATTATTATTTCACTAAAGTTCTCAAAGATGTCTATTGTGCTCATACAAGAAATCATAGTAAAAACTGCAACAAAATTCCTTGTCAGCGAATTTAATTTCTACTAAAACACACATTTCTTTCATTATCTGATTTATCAAAACGATACATATATACTATATACGTATAAATGCTTGCATGCATTACACACACACACACACGTGTGTGTGTGCGTGTACGTATGCGTATGTGCGTGTATTTAACCCGAAGAAGACTATCTATCTATCTATCTATCTATCTATCTATCTATCTATCTATCTATCTATCTATCTATTTTACATTTAGATAAATCGAGTGAAGACAGAGGAATTAAGTTTACTTGCAATATTCGGATCAAGCTAGTTTTCTCTTTTTCCCACTTGCTATCCTAGTTTTTAAAACGCAAAAAGAATAGTGATTTATGGTCTACAGATAGTCACCATGCTGTATTGATTCCTATCTCCACACTGTCTGTATCAATAAACGCTCTATCTCCGATATTGAGCACTATTTCTCCCTTGAATATATAAAACAGACGGCTCATTTTTATTTTTACTTTAAACAGTATTTCCGAATACAAAGACCGAAAAGACGTGATAAGTTTTAAGAAAATAACCGAATATTCACTGTAATAACATTTGTACTAATAATAATCCTGAAATAAAAATAAAACGCATTAATTCATATATATATATATATATATATATATATATATATATATATATATATATATATATATATATATATATGTGTGTGTGTGTGTGTGTGTGTGTTGAGAGATAGAGACGAGAGAAAGAAAGTTGGATAATAATATATTTCATGTTATAAACAATAACAATAAAATCAAAATTTTGTCGTTTTTGGAATTTGATCTGATATTTTCATTGTATAATGTTCGCATTATGTGATCTGTGATAAATAGACAGTTTTCGAGTTAAGATCATAACGAGAAATAACGAGAAATGAAATTATGTGCAAAATCAAATATTTGTTGAGTAAAATATATAACTGATGTTTCTAAGCATAGTCCCATGCACGCACACAGAGGGCTTACGGCATTATAAGCGTTGAAACATCATTTCCCGTACGATCGCCGAATTTAAGCAACGTCGGGCCTGGTCAGTACCTAGACGGATGACCGCTTGGGAATACCAGGGGCTGTAAGCTTGGGTGTGTGGGTTATGGATAATGGCTGGGAAGTGTTATTTGGAGAGCCGAAGTCCAATTTCCAAATACTCTTGGGAAATGTATGAATCCGCCTCTCCACCCCTCCAGCTATAGGTTAATTAGTAAGACTTGTATCCCTAATTATCATCTTCGAAGTTCTTACAATATAAAAATATTTTCTGCTTTTGAATAACCTGCAAAGTATTCATACGCCGTGGAAAACATATCAATCAACACACACACACACAATATATATATATATATATATATATATATATATATATATATATATATATATATATATATATATATATATATATATATATATATATATAGGGGCAGCAGATCATTATTTAAACATATTAAATGTAACAGAAAATGAATGTCTATTATATCTGATCTTAATATTCGTGTTTGATTTAATTTTGGGGTGAAAAGTTTGGACCAACTTAATAAAAAATATCCAAATGTTGGACAATTTTTGTCTTTATTTTCAACAAAAATTAAATCAAAAATTCGATCATTAGAACAGCTTATAATCAGACATAATATATATATTTATCGTCTGTTATATTTAATAATATATGTTTAAAATATATATATATATATATATATATATATATATATATATTATATATATATATATTAGCATATCATTCTTAAGGCATGTGTTGTTAAAGAATACGGAACTTTTCCGTTTAATCTCGTGTTTCCATTTAATTTCGTGTTTCCGTTTAGTTTCATCTTGTTTTCTCGATTTCTCGCTTTTTTTTTATTTTTGGGTCTAAGTTGTTGAAATAAGACTCTCGTCATTTAATACTGGCCGAACGACTTAAACATATTTAATAAGTAATCCTCCAGATAGTAAACACCAACCCCCTTCTTATTAATAATGAACTAATCCAACCACATTCTCTAATACCGAAAATATTATCTATAAAACTAAAGTAATAAGCAGTTTTTTTCAAACCAGAACATACAGCCATGACGACGGGTGACGATAACCGAAAGCGCTCGGCAAAACACCATGGACTAGTGTCTTATTTCAACAATTTAGAGCCAAATATATATATATATATATAAAGAAAACATGCGAGAAAAAACCGAATAAAAAAGGATTTATTAAACGGAAAAGTTCCATTAGTTTTAACAACACATGCCTTAATATATATATATATATATATATATATATATATATATATATATATATATATATATATATATATATTTAATTTAATGAAAACAGACACTTTAAGGTACCATTACAATAATTTATTTCACCAAAATCCTTTATAAAGTTTTTACCAAATTCTTCATAAGTTTACCAAATTCTTCACTTAACTTAATATATATATATATATATATATATATATATATATATATATATATATATATATATATCTGTGTGTGTGTGTGTGTGTGTAAGTAATATATATGAAGAGAGTGTAATGTTTATATACACTATGTTAACTATTTTAAATATTTACCAGTCAAATTTTACAAAAAAACATATAATCGGGTGCTAGAGCCAGAATGGACGAATTGCTACTAGCAAATTCAAAGAATTAAATTCGTGAAATATCTTCGTCATAGAACAAAAATTATGCGAAATGAATTCGTCATAAATAACGAAAGAACAGGAAAAATTATCTCTGATAGTGGACACCGATTTAAGTTAAAATATTCTTTCAGGAAATGTAAACGCTTGACTAATGAAGAAATTAATGAATCTGTTCAATTTGTCCGAAAAAATAGTCCGAATATGTACTGATAAGATATTCGTGTTTCCAATTTTCTTTATGCATATAACTCTTTCTACTTTGGGCTCTCCAAAGCGGTGTAATGGCTAGCAAGTTTGTCTTGCTAGATCAATTACAACTGAGTAGTGAGTTCGATCCTCACTGGGTGACTTGTGCCACATCTAATCTACGCTTGGAAAAGCACTATAACTTCTCTGTCACTCTCTCTATACATATGTATGTGAGTGTGTTTGTGGACAAGTTGGTGCGCGCGTGATGATACTCAAACAAGAACACAGGTTGCAATAATATTTTAGTACAAGTATTTCTGGACTTGACAGCCAAGAAAAAAACATTCCAAGTTAGCATGAAACCCGCAAAAAATTAACTACTGCACACACACAGACATATATATATCTATCATTATATGGAAAACATATTTTCTACGAAATTTCTCGGTAAATGTAATTAAAATATAATTAATTGTATTTAATTAAGAAAAGCATTTACGATTATGAACTGGATCCATAAGAATAATGTATAAACAGAATATATATATATATATATATATATATATATATGTAAATATTCCAGGTTTATATTATTTTTTCTGTTTAACTTGTCCGAAAAGTCCGATTTTAAAAATTATTCTTATCATGCTTTTACATTTCTAACGGTCGAATAATAATAATAATAATAATAATAATAATAATAATAATAATAATAATAATAATAATATCTGAGGATGTCCAGAACTGGCAAAAAAATGAATATACTCAGAGACATAACAAAAAAGAAGGACATATGTGCACTGGAAGATATGCAAGAAGCGCAAAATCAAAACCATTGAGAAATGGTATGACCACCAACCAAACACAATTAACCCATAAAACGATGTAACTATCCCCTGGAACATGTCAGTTCAAACTGAGAGGGAAATAATAAGCCAGAAGACCAGATAACTTCATAAAAGACAAAAATTGCAGTTATCTATGCTTATTGATATAGCAGTACCATATAAGAGAAACACCTCTATTAAAAATTGTCGAGAAATTCTCCAAATACAAGGATCTGGAGATTAAGGTTAACATGATGTGGGGAATGAAGCCTGAGACAGTACCAATAGTAATCGGAGCTCTGGGCCTTGTGAGAAAAGGAATGGATAATTTTACTAACAGTTTCCAAGAGGTACCATCAACATTAAAATTGCTCAGAATATCGCCCTACTAGGAATATCACATATACTAAGAAAAATGCTATCAATTAAATGACAATTCTCCCAAATGACCTAAGGACCACAGCAGGAAACATAACAGACAGAAATAATAATAATAATAATCTGCAAAATACCTAAAAAAGACAGCAAAGACGAATGCAACCGACCAGATACAGATTCGATGGCAAGATAAACCGCTTCATGGCCAATACTCTGCCCGTACCAAACAAGCTGACGTAGACAAAACCCGTACCCATCAGTGGCTACGTAGTGCAGGGTTGAAAGCGGAAACTGAAGGTTTTATACTTGCTGCGCAGGACCAATGCTTGCTAACTAGGAATTATCAAGCACATATACTAAAATATTGTGTCAGCCCAAAATGCAGATTCTGTGATAAATATCCAGAAACGATTGATCATCTTGTATCAGGTTGCACGATGTTGGCACCCACTGAATATAAAACCCGACATGACAGAGTGATCCAATATCTGCACTGGAAAATCTGCAACTTCTACGGGAAGGAAACTGAAAGAAACTGGTATGAACGCCACCCAGACCCGGTTACGGAGATAGGACCTGTTACAATTCTATGGGACTACACAATACACACTGACAGAACAATCAAGGCCAACCGCCCAGATATTGTTATTAAAGACCACTAACAAAAACGGTGCCTCCTTATTGATATGACTGCAATGTATCTTTGAAGATATTCAAAAAGTTGTCAAAATACAAGGACCTTGAAATAGAAATCTCGAAAATGTGGCATATGGGAACATCAACAATCCCTGTTGTAGTTGGAGCCCTAGGACTGGTTGGAAAAGATTGCAGTAGACTAATGGGAGGGATTCCTGGAAGTCCATGCCTCAAGGAGATACAAAAAATTGTTCTGACAAGTACAGCCCACACTTTACGAAGGGCTTTATCTATGTATTTTTTTTTTTTTTTTGTCAGTGGAAAGTGTCATGATGCCATTTCTAACCTTAGGTCCCTGGGCGGGACCGGAAAGAAAATTAACGCCAGAAATCAAAGAAAATAATAATAATAATAATAATAATAATAATATTCGAAATAGTTTTACTATAACTACACACGCACACACACTCACATAAACTCACACTCACAGAGGCACAGAGACACACAGAGGCACAGAGACACACAGATAGAAAGGGACAAAAAGTGGGGGAGAGTGAAGTTGAATATCTGAGTGCCATTTTTTGAAAAATGTGATCCTGCGTCGTCGTTTCCTAGTTTCTCCACGTAAATTTCTTTCTATCTATACATATACACATAGAGTGAGGCAGAAAGAAAGAGATATAGAAAGATAGATAGATATGAAGAAACACATAGATAGATAGATAGATAGATAGATAGATAGATAGATAGATACAGATATTATGAATCTATCTATGTAGGAGAGAGAGAGAGATTTAGAGTAGAGAGAGAGAGAGAGAGAGAGTGTGGCAAAAAAGAGAGGGAGGGGAAACATGTATTTTTACACCTGAACTTTATTATTGTAAGACAAGAGGACACAAATACACATTCACTGTGCTACACACACACACAAACAGATGCTATTTTTTATTAATTTTGTGTTCTAGATATTGTAAATATATTCATATATGCAGGTTTCATAATCAGTTAGATATTAATCACACATAAATATCTATATTCATCTTATATATGAGTGTTTCTAAAAAGCAAAACCAGAAAAATTTAAAAAATGTTAAATTATAGTTAAATAAACAAATTAATTAAGTTAATTAAACTTAATCTTGTTTTTTAAACTTATATATCTTGTATTTATATATATGTTATATATATATATATATATATATATGTATATATATATATGTATGTATATATGATGAAAATATATATATATATATATATATATATATATATATATATATATATATATATATATATATATATATATATATATATATATATATATATATATATATATATATATCTTTTCAGAGCAAGAAACAGGTTATCATCACTCGTTCTTAACCTACGTCTCTCTCTCTCTCTCTATAT